ATCTTTAGATCTACAGTAAGAGGTTTGTATTACATTTCTGCAAAAAACCATAAAACATCATGCTTCACACTTTACATCCTTCCTAAAGTTACCCACAATTACCACAAAAAAAATTCTGTACTCTGCAGCATGGAAAGCCGTGAGGGGGAGATCTTATGTTGGTAGATACTTCATGTGTGTACATTTCGCAATTACTGTCTGAACAGAATGGGAGTTGTTGGAATAAACAACTTTTAAGCAAGTGCAAAATAACTTAGATTCAGTAATAGTGATTTTGTGCTTGCTTTTGCTATTTTTATTTGTGTTTTTATCTAAATGGTTGAGGTGATCAAGAAAGAAATATGTTCCTGGAATATATTTGATGGTGGTGAGTATTAGTTTAGTTTGGTAGAACAAATGGAATAGCAAAAAAGCCTGTCATAGCTACAGAATTAATTTATTCTAATTAAGTTAAGTTTTTAACCTTAAATGGAGAGATAAGAAGACATTTCAGGCATATGCCATAGCATATATGCTCCCTGTATGGAGCACTGGCATATATGGAGCTTGTACCCTCTTATGGGGCATCACTGTGATGCGCAGGAATGTTATTCAGACTAAAATTTCTGACTCTATTTAGACAATCCATACAGATCTTAATAAAAATAGTTTTGAATTATTTTGCTTTTTAATGCATATTTGAAAATACCATGTACTTTTCTAGTGCTTTATCAGGCTCTGATAGCCTTTGTAAAAGAGCTTTGAATTAGGACAAAACCTATTCAATACTAGTCCCCAGTTTTTTTTGTTTTGTTTGATTTTGTTTGTTTGTTTATTTTTTAATTTTTTTGTTGTTATTGTTGTTTTCTGTCTTTATTTACTTGATGGTTACCTTCCTTTTGTGGTTGAAATTCGTCATAATTCGATTTGCATTTAGAATGTTCCACTGACCCACTGTTCTTTCTGTCTTGTATATGAAGTCTCTGTAGATGTGGACTTAGGGCTCTCTGACTTGCAGGAGAGCAAGACCTCTCTGGAGACTGTTGCAAGTTGCAGTAGCTGTGTATGACCCTGTAGTGTCTCCACACTAGTAGGTAGTATTGTTGTGGTCGGCTTCTGTACTGTTGTCGTGTGTGGTTTCTCCATCAGAGGTTTCGGCATTTGGATATTGGCTCTGGTCTGTACCACATGAAGAGTACTCCAGCAGAACAGCATCACCCTGGTGATTACACAGGGAATATCTTTACTATCTTTTCCTTGGCCCTTTATCCCTCTGTCTTTACATCTGTCTGGAAGCGGTTTTCACAGTAGTGACTTTGTTTCTGTTCCCACTTCTGTAATGTTTACTCTCTTGCACAGGAAAGGAACAGATTCTCCTGAACTTCAGAGTCCCCAGTTCCTTCACCTCTCTTTCAGGACTAATGTGCTGGAAAATTAGAGTTGTTTAAGCCTCTGGAGACTGTCAGTGCTGCAAATCCTAGTGCTTGTGCAGGGTTCCGGGTATAAGAGGAAATGCTTGTGTAAGAAAGCTACTGCTTTACAGAGCTGCTGCCTCCCTCCCAGCCTCCTCCCCTTCTTTCCCTGTTACCTGTGGTGGTGAGTGAGCTTAAGGAGGAGGTTGCAGGAGAACCAGCTCCTGCTAATTGACAACATGTATTTGAAACTGATTGGATCCTGAGGTTTAGGATCTTGACCACATGCGGGTCTGTGACTTAATGAGGAGCAGTAAATGTCTACTGCTTTATTTATTTATTTTTAAATTGGCAAATAATTTTACTTTGATTTATTATTCTCAAAAGAATGTTTTCTATAAGCATTGCAGTCATTCAGCTTCTCTCAAGGAAGCAACGTTTTAGTTTTTTCACAACCTTGCTGGTGGAAATCCTTTAGTGAAACTGATGGGTTTGTAACAGGGTCAAGGCACCACTCCAGTTTTCTGATGACTTTGCATAGTCAGACTAGGGAGAGATTGACAGTGATTAGCAGTTGCCCACAAAAGGCAAATGTTAAAAGTCTCTAGAATTTACCATGTAAAAGGTAGTTCTTAAAGTGATCGCTACTGTTCATTAATTGCTTGTAGATTTTGGTTTTTTTATTTTTTTATTTTATGATGGCCTGTATATGTCTTTGCAAAACTGTGCGCTCCCTTCTGTGCTTTCCTCTTCTTACCGTCTCTCTGCCAAAAAAAAGCAAAAAGAAAGAAACAGTAGAAAATACCTCAGCAGTGGCCAGTACTCTGAGGGAGGTATGCTGTAGAAGGTTAATATCAGTGACCTGCTGGTGCAGTTTCGAGTGTGGTATACTATAGTGCTCCTCAGTGAGTTAGTATTCTTTACAACATGCAGCCACTCAGCCCATAGGAAGAAATATTTAGCCTTGCTTCAAAACCAAGTCCCTGTTCCTGGCAAAAAGCAGAAGTGTGTAAATGCAGGAAGATGCATTTAGCATTCAGGCTTCTGTGGGATTTTAGCTGGGGACAAGCAATAAACCCTGAAGCCAGTAATAATTCCTGGATTTGAAAGATGGAAATTAGGTGTAATAAATTTAAATAATGGTTAGAGGGTTTTTCTTCCCTCAAAACTTACATAAGAATTATTTGTTTTGCAAACCATTATATTTAGAGAGAGATATAATACTCCCCTTCAATAGCAGAGTGAAACTGAACCTTCTGTGTGCGAGTTTGGTGTGCCACAATCGCTCAGTTCCTAGCATGGGCTTTTCACTGTGTCTTTTCTTGTCTTTTACCCTATGGACAGAGGTGGGCTTTCTCAGGACGGAAAGCTTGATTCTGCATTGCTCTGATGTGTCCAGATGTAGCTGGTCAGGAGTGCTCAGTCCCTGACAGACCCAGAAGTGGTTTATGAGTGAATCTGGCGAAATAGCTTTCAATTCTGGGCTATTTTCAGTAACTGGAGAAAATCTTCAGTTTGGCTCTTCTGTCTCCATCTACTACCACAAGCATTCTTAACTAAATGGTGACAAAAATGAAGAAGTTTCAAATGTTAAGGTTGATGAATTAATTAAATGTTACAAAGAACTGCAAATTAAGAGTTTTGCAGAGAATGCCATACATACACCCCCAGATGTATCACTTTCACCATGAGCAGTGAGTTTTATATAAAATTCAGGGATAGCAGGCAGTCCTGGGCTCGTTATTCAATTAGAGGATAAACCCACTGAAATTTTGACAACTGAGAACTCAAATTCACTTTTCATTGAAACGTTTAGTTGTTTTCCCTCTCAAAAAGGGAGAACATTTAAATGGTTTTTTAAAACTTAAACATTTTTTTTAATAGTAATTAAAAGAGCTAAAGCGTGCGGCATTCTTTCCTGTTTTCAAAGTGAATACTTAGAAAAGTAGTTTTCCATACTGTTTTTTTTTTTTTTTTTTTAAAGAACCCTTTGCATAACTTTCAGGTACTGCATTGGTAATGGTTACTTTGCATAGAAGCTCATGAATTTATTTTTTAGAGAAAGCATCGTTGTTCTTGCAAGGTGTGACTCATATTTTTCTTTTGGACTTTTGGAGGATGAACATATTAGTTATTGAAGACCTGTACTGGAGTTCTGTGTGTGATTACAGTGTTGATTTGTAAGGAAATGCAATGTGTTGTTCAGCTATAATGACTAGAAAGACGCAATGTAATATGGTGAAGACCAGTAAAACAGAAATTCTCTTTTCAACACCGTGTTTATTGGACAGATCTTTGCAGGGGGGAGCGTATGAGTACAGGTTTCTCCTGAAACTTAACATGAGTCTTTTTCGTGTACTTTTTTTCTGTGTGCGTGTACAAACCTTATTTAGGGAGTTAGATTTGATCAGGAAGTAGAAATTAAGGCAAGACACTATTCAGTAGCTGCCAAGGTATCTGCGAGTCACTTAGTTCCAGACTGGGTGAATGAAAAAGGTGCTGTGTAGATGTCTGTTAAATGCTATTTTAAATAATACATCTTATTGACCCTGTAATAGAAAAAAGACATCACCTACTATGAGTACGTGTTTTTTGTCTTTTATATTCATTCTAAATAGATTCCAGAATGACATTACTAAATAAAGGCCATTCAGCATGTGTCCTACTATGGAATTATATATTTATTCTATTCTATTTTATATTGTGATGGTGTTTCTTTGATTTCCAAATGAAATTAAAATCCATGAAGACTGTAATTTTTAAGTCCTGCATACTGAGAACAAGGAGGAGCTCAGTCCATTGACATGGAAGAAAGTTTGGAGTCAACAATGAATGGGACTATACTTCTGCTTTAAGTGAAAGATAAATGGGCTACTTTTAATGGAGAACACCAGTTAAAGCAGCCTTAATGTCCATGGAGATTTATCCTGCAGTTCAGAAAGGGTTTGTTGATACTATACAGAAGACAATCCTGCTCTTTTAACTTAGAGCAACAGGTTTTTCTTAAATGTCATTACTTCATTTATACTTCCAGTCGCTATTTTTAAATAGTTCAAGGGTTAGACTTTGTAATAGAAAAGGTACTTCAATCAATCTAAATAAATATTTGTACAGTTAGACCTGACCTCAAATACCCAGATCACTTTGATAAAAACATACTTTTCAAGAACCGTGTTTGTTTCTGTCTTGCCAATTTTTTTTTTTTTTCTCTTTTGGCTATTAGCATGATTTACATATGTTTCTTTAATGGAACTGAAAAAAAGAGATTTCTTGTATACATGTATGAGGGGAAAAAGATTTGTCCTCTTTGCAGCAGTTTTAGCATAATGTGTCAGGATAGCCTTGTACTCTTGGGCAACAAGGAAATTCATTGATTTGTCCATTGTAGTGTTCATATGCTTCATGTTAGTAAGAAATATCAGAAAGTTTACCACATGAATCTTTCATATTTTGTTTACAAAAATGTATTTCGGTTTCCATGTCTTCAGTCACGCGAAATGTTAATAATGTTTTGAGATGTTCTTTAATATTGTTAAGGGTTTTTTTAATTTGAAAACTTTTATGTTTCAAAGAATATAAAAATAACTAAGACCATTCTGTTTTCTTCAGTACTTTGGAAGCTTACTTGTAATATTCTGTGTTGAACTGGCCTGTGGTGTTTGGACCTACGAGCAGGAAATAACGGTGAGTCAGAAAAGGAGGCTGCATTTTTTTTCAGCAGAAGAAAAAGATTTCCATTAGCTAGCTGTTTCCTAATTGCTCTAGTGTTTATCTCTGTTCATTACTCTGACAGTCTAATTTCAAGTGACTGCCTTTTTTTTAAACAGATAATTCTTCTGGGAAAACTTGTCTGTCTGGAAGGTCCTATCTTGGTTTCTGCTTATCCCCTCTGTATTTGAGAGCCAAATCCTGCAGCACCTGACTGAAGGACTTAATTTTTTGTTAATTCTTGCTTAGACAGGTTTTCATTGAAGTCATTGAAACTTTTGGGGTTAAATATGAGCTTCAGGCTTAAATAAGGCTTTTGAGAGAGCAGATGTGAGAATTTGAAGGGATTTTTTCCCCAAAAGTTCTCCATGTTTAAAGAGTGTACTACATTGTAAAGAAATAATGTGCTCTTTCAATAGAGGACTTGCTGTCTGCCAAAATGTACACACTGCCTCCACAAGCTGTAAATGCCAGTTTTAAGCAAAGCATGTCTTGACTATAAAACACTCTTCTGTAAACTTGTGAAGAGATTTTATCTCTATCTAGCTTTTATAGCTGCACCAACCTTTAATTTTCAAACTGAGGACTTGTAACCATCATGTAAGAAAATGGATAAGCATTGAACACTGAAATTAAACTGAAATGTTACTCTGCTGGCTGCTGTATCTTTGCATCTTGTACTCAGTCTGGTACATTTTTATGAATAGAGGGACAAATATTTTCTCTTAACTGCCAAGATATGCCCAATATAATGGTCTTTCCAACAGTGAATAGCAATTACATTGCAGTAAGATTGGAGGGAGCTTTCTCAATATTTGCACAGTACGTGGAGCAAAGGAATTTCTGGCAGATTTGAAGTCTGAAGTTACGTGGCAGCACTTTGCATGAGAATTCATTCCCTTGTGGTACAGCTTCCAGATGGGTGTTATAGTATAATAGCAATTAAGGCTATCCCTTTACTTTAAATGTCAGCTTGTGCTGATGCATTTTAAAATTGGGAATACAGACAAGATGCATTCTTCATCCTATGGGCACAGCTGCCCTCTGGGGGGATTTTGCCAAGATGACTGTCATAACTAACATCCATCTTTCCACAGAAATCTTGTCAGTGGAAACTGCCTGAAACAACATAACCTTCAGAGCAGTGGAACATGCTTTCTCCAGCCTTCCCTATTCAGTTTGAGAACCTGAAGTTATGGTGTGTTTTAGTCTGACCCCCAAGCTTTTGATTACATGCTATGCTACTGAAACCCAAACCTAGGACAGTTTGATGCAAACTGGCATAACCGTAATATATGTTAACGCACTCGTGATGCTGTTTCCCTCCAGAAGAAAACAGTGCTGTCCTTGCATCCCTTTGCTAAAGTAAGCAGTGCTGAATTCCATGCCAACGTCATCTGCAGTGGGTCACAGCGAACCCAGATACTATTTTTTTTGCTCTTCTGTTTCTTTTTTCTTCTCTCTCTGTATATATGTGTTTTTTCTTTCCTCATCCCCTGAAATACTGGGTTGCATTGAGGTTTTGTTGTTGTTGTTTTACTGGGTTTTTTTGTTATTTTCTCTTTTTATCTGATTTCTCACTGTTATTCTCTTTGTCCTAACAATACTGCTTTTTGTGCGATAAGGTGGGGCACAGCTGGGTTTCTTGCTGCTAAGACCCATAGGGAATGGGGCAGTCTGGAAGAGCACAGTTGTTTTTCAGTGGTTCTTTCATACCTGTGCAGGTCACTTCCCTAGAGCATGCTTCCACCTACTCTACTTGATAAAGATAAAAAGACTCCCTCTTATACCCATTAGGGTGACTTGATGTCATGTTTTTTTCAGTGTAGCATGAAATCACATGGACCCCTGGTGGGTTTCAGAGAATCAGTTGGCATTAGTGTAGGTGGATGGGTGATGTTGTCAGAAATGTCACTGAGGCATAACCGCCTCTGCTGATTCCGTATGGGCTCTCCTTGGAGTGTGGACAAGTTGCTCTAAGAGTCCTTGCATAAACAATTTTCCTTCCAGCTCATGATAGCTCTCAGCATGAAGTGGGCCTCATGACTAATTAATTCCACCCACAAGATTGAAAAGCTAGTGTGGGTTCTTGGCTTACTTAGGAATTGATCAACCCTCGATAGTCATTAGAAGAATAAGTGAGTAGATTTCAATGGCAGACCGAACTTTACAAATTTACGTTAAAATCAAACCAACATCTCTAGTGTTTGTTTTTCTACACACTACAGAAGAGCATTGGTGTATAGTCAAACAAATGCATCTCAGGCGTCTAGTATTGTGCACCACTGTGTATATGAGCTGATAGGAAGCTGTTTAGTAGATACATCAATGTCCTTAGCTCACATAATCATAGAATATCACAGAATATGCTGAGTTGGAAGGTACCCACAAGGATCATTGAGTCCAGCTCTTAGCCCTGCACAGGACTCTCCCCAAGTGTCATACCATGTTCCTGAGAGTATTATCCAAACACTTCTTGAACTCTGTCAGGCTTGGTGCTGTGACCACTTCTTTGGGGAGCCTGTTCCAGCACCCGATCACCCTCTGGGTGAAGAACATAATATCCAACCGAAACCTCCCCTGATACAACTTCAGGCCATTCCCTTGGGTCCTGTCACTGGTGACCTCAGAGAAGAGATCAGTGCCTGCCCCTTCTCTTCTCCTCACAAGGAAGTTGTAACTGCAATAAGGTCTCCCTTCAATCTCCTCCAAGCTGAACAGACCAAGTGACCTCAGTGGCTCCTCATATGGCTTCATCCTTGAAGCAGTCAGACACACAGATTCCAAAATCACTCCTTCCCTCCAGAATTCAAATTGCCTTTCTACAGTGGGGTTTAGATTGTTCTGCCTTGCTTTTAATTTCCTTCACTTCTTTAGCATTTTTTCCACCTTTCTTTTTTTCCCCATTGATTTCCTAAAGAAGTTGGATGCCTCGTGTTGCAGGCATAACCTTGGACTGTGTTCAACTCAAACAATAAAAAATAAAAAAATATTCTAGCAAGTATGAGATTAATTGCAGCAATATTAAATTACTGAAGAAAGCAGAGTGCTAGCTTACAATGCAGAAGAAAGAGAAATGCATTGAATACAAACCAAATTGTTTTATTATAGTGACCAATGTAAATGTTTGTGATAGAAAGATTCTGTGATACTGTTTTAAAGTATTTTTAGTACTCTACTACTAACATATTTTTCATGTGGACAATTGTGAGTTCAACACTTTATCACTTCAGAGAGAAAAATCTGCTAAATGAAAGGCATGTTAAGTTTCTGGGACATTATTAATATATTAATGATATGAAGCTTTACTAGGGCATCAGAAATAGTAGTATAACTTAATAGCAGTAATGAAACATTATCACATGTTCTTATTTGTCTTATGGGTTCAGGCAGGCTGTGATTGTCCCTATGTTTTTGTAGAGCATAGAGCACAATGAAGACCAGGCTTCTTGGGAAGTACTGTGATCAGGCTTTTTTATTAGATAACATTTGTTGCTACTTGCACAATGCCTTTACTGTTTGCTCCAAATTGAACAGGATAGCAAAGTCACGGCTGCTAGAGGAGCTGGGCTCCCCTGCCATCCAAGTGACAGCTGATATTGCAATTTTGATTTCTTTCACTATGACTGTTAAGGCTAATGGAAACAAGGCAAAACTCAACGTGAGTGATATGTGTGCCTAGGAGGGCAATGCAGTCTTCAGCAGCTTGTTTTGTTTTGGCACACTGAAATTTGTGCAGCTGAATGGAAGTGAGGTTCTAATCTTGATTCTTAAACGCATTGTATGCCTGGTGCCATAGCACTTGCTTCTGTTGTTTGTAAAGAATTGCTGACGTGTCATCTTCAGACAATGTAGAGCACCAGCACCTCACTTCTGAGTAGTCAAATTTGAAAGAAAAATACTTCAAGAATCCTTGAAGTATTTATTTGTAAATTTCAAGATTTACAAGACTGAGTGTGTATGAAGAAAAAAGATCACAAAGCCTCGTCTGCATTTCCTTGTTACTGTTCTTGAGCAAGATACTGAAACGGAGCACGTTAAGGATACCTGCATACAGGACTCCAGACCAAGCCAGAAAATCATTGAAAAAACTCTTGGGGTAGAATTCCTTGCAATTAATTTTATATATGTAGAAGTTAGACATTTAGATCTAAGTTTGTCACCTTAGACAGTGAAGTGGATTTGAGACTTCAAGGCAGTGGTGCATCTGCTCTGTTTAAATTACTTATCTTGAGATCAATTGCCCTGTTTGGCTGCCTGTATCTTTCTCTTGACTAAGAAGACACCAGGGAGATACCTAAACTGGGACAGACAAAGGCTATCCCTGATGACTTGGATGGGAATCAGTTCAAGTTTTACGCCAGGTAAAAAATGTGGTAATGGTATAACCAAATTGTACTCAACTATCCCTGAATCTCTCCAAAACATAACTCCTTTTTCAGTGTAGATTAATTTGTAAGCAAAGGAAACAAATAACTTTCCCCTGACATTTTAAGAAAAGCTTGTGAAGTATTAGTATCATAAAAATTGCAACACTTGTTTTCCTGTTTTATTTGTATACAGCGTTATTTTGGTCATTGCACTGGAAAGATCACAAAATAGATGGAATTTGTGGATTTGGAGGCACAAGGTTGTTGATCATTGTGTGAATCATTTATCTTTCCTTGCTCCAGGTTCCAGTGCAGTGGTCTGATATGATCACGCTGAAAGCCAGGATGACCAATTATGGCCTACCTAGGTACCAGTGGCTGACCCATGCTTGGAATTTCTTCCAGAGGGAGGTAAATGACAGTAATTCATGAACTGAAGTAATACATGCTCAGTAAATGTTACTTATCTGCTAAAGGAAGAGGTTTGGTTTTAAGTGAAAAGTTCATTTCATATGAAACACTGTGTAGTGATGGTATCTTTTAACATCACTTGATATCCAGTTCTTTAGTTTTTATATGCCCTAAAGATGCTTAAACACCGAAAGAAAAATGTCACTAAATTCAGTTAATTTACTAACACTCTCTTCTCCTTTGCCAGCAAGGTTAGGACATCAACACCTTTTAGGATTACTGTAGCATTTTAGGATACGATGTATATAAAATTAAAAATCTGCAGATTAAGTAAAATGAATATGTGGTTTTAATATTAAACTGTGCTCCCCTTCCTATAGGCTCTGTTAGTTTCTTTTCACCAAACTGTCATGGTTAAGATATGTGTTTAGCTGGAAAGGAGTGGAAAAGGAAGTTTTCATAAAGATGCCTACACTGTCTCTTTGGCTGAGGTTTGTGAAAGTGATCAGGGTTTTTATTTCCTTTGACTGAGGGGGTCAGAAACAAACCGGAAAGCTTCCTTGTGTATTCACAGCTTTGCCCTCTACCCTACTAAAATTCAGAACTTTTTTTAAAGAATGAAGTATTATGTTACAGAAACATGAAATCGCCCAAGGTAAAACCCATTAACTCCAAATATAACTCACATGCAGGAAGAGAACTCCTTAAATGCCTGTCATTGTGCTGCTCTTGTTGAAATGTTGAAATCTATCAGTGTTGCACAGATTTCCTGTTTATTTAAGCATTTCCTGGCAGCACTTGGTTCATCTGTATTTATACTAAAACCTGAAAGAAAGAGGTTAACACCAGCATAACCCCACCCTGTTCTCTGCTCTGGCCATTCAAGTGCTCTGTGAAACTGAGTAATTCTTCATGTGCAGGTAGAGTGTTTATATCTGTTCTGTACCTGAGATAATATAATCAAATGGTCTCAATCAATTTTCCTTGAATAGAGCTGGTACTGTATATTGGTTGAAATGCATAGGTTGAATAAATTAAAAACTGCCTCTTATCCTCCTAGTTGTTGTGGTGTCATCATAATGGCTGGTTATAATATGAATATTAGTAACAAAATTTCAACTATGCCATAACTTTTCTAGGGTAGAAAAACTTTGTTTTAGAAGTTAGATTTTCTGTATTCCATCTCTGACTAGATGAATGATTTGGGGAAAGTTTGAAGTGAACATTTGAGAAACCTCTTTTACAGATTCTACTTAATTAATGGGCTCTTCTTGATATTCTGTCCACTCATAGCTCAGATGCTGTATTTATGAGCCTGGCATGTGCTTTATTCCTGAATGAGCACTTTACTTGTGGCCCTTCTTCAGTCAGCTAAATTGTGATTACAGTTCTGTTACCAAAGGTTCAGCCCTGATCAACTTTGTTTTCTCTCTTCTGTATCTTTTAACATCTGAGACAGATAGGAAATGTGTTTTCCCTCAACCCTCTTGGTGGTCTAATACCAGAGTTGTGACTATGCTAAGGAAGATGGTGAGGGTCAACCGAAGTCAGGAAAAAAAATCTGGGTGGGGGAAGAAAAGATTTGAGAGTAAGAAAAGGAAGTTTAATGACATGGTCTTTGCAATTACAGTGAGGAGCCAAAACTTGAGCTTTACTTAAAGTCCTGTGTTGGAACTAACAAACTAATAAAAACAGAGACATTAAAGTTGTGGTAAAGAAGGAAGAAGTGAGATTTTTAAGAGGACTGGTAAGGTCAAGGGCACAGTGTGTGCCAACAGTCTGGGCACTGATCTGCTTGATTGTGACCAAGGAGTGGTGTGGAATACAGGACTCTGGCTCTGAAGTGGGTAAGGGGGGGGCACATATGTTCCCAAGCCCATGGGTCAAAGGAACGAGGGGATGACTTACACTCAGGCTGGTACTGGAGGGCATTCAGACAGAAAAAAAATTGCATCTTGTTTCTGCAGCAAGGCTTCTTTTCAGTCATGTCAAGTCTGCATCCAATTCCAAGCTTTATCCCTTTTCTACATGAAAGCAACTACTAATGTGGTAGACTGGTCATTTGGCTTTAAATCTCTGGGTGTGCTTTGCAGAGGAGAAGACAGTTTGTTAGTCCTGCTGGTTTTTATAGCCAATTACGGCTGATGTGCTTTGCAGCCAGACTTCTTACTTTTATGGTTGATTCTGTTGGAGTATTTGCTTTAGTGTGATACCCTTTCCTTTTATTTTCTGTTTTCCTTTAAGCATTTGCAATTTCTACACCTTTTTGTTCATGCTTTTGTTTTCCTTTTTTTTTTTTTTTCTGTTGTAAGACCCCAGCCTCGCCTCAGGAGCTCATCAGAGGGGTTTTACATCATAAAGATACAGAGTCCCAAAACCTGTCTGATGGATTTATTAAAAGGGCCTTAGGTTCATTTATACCTTGAGGTCACGCATGGGAAAAACACTGCAATGTTTTCAGGAGGTCAAAATAACACACTTTTACTGGGAAACTTTGGAAAATAAGGGAACTTGGCAAAAGTTTAAAGAACACATTCAGTCAGAAAGCATTTCACAAAGCATTGACTTAGCAAATTCCAACCCATCCAGGTTTAAGTTACCCAAGTATCAAGAAAAGGGGATTAGAAGTAAAGAAAAAGAGAGAGAGAGTTATACCTATTGCCTTAGGGCCATGGTAGCACCAACTACTACAAATCCAAGGGCAATAGGGCTGTGACCACGTGGAGACCTCATGGTGTTGGTTTTTTTTGCTCTGGACTTCTGTGACCACCCACCCCCTCCCCAACCCCAAGTGGGGCTTCCAGTGTGCCAGCCATTCGGGATCTGGGTTAGGAGCCCCTGGGGGTGCGGTGTGGGGTGTGTGACAATGGCTAATGACCATTCTGGGGCTGGATTAGGGGCTCCGGGGGGGCGTGGTGTGGGGCAGTGCTCCCCATGTGCCAGTGACTGACAGCTGCACAAAAGGCATTCACGGAGGCAGGATTTTGAGGCAGAGCACCATCCCACCTTGGCAGAACCTGATCTGCCCCCTCACCCACACACTGAGTTTTTTCGAGCCATTGCTTTCAGTTTCTCACTTCTGTATTCAGGTAAATCTGTGCTTTTTCTGGTTTTCAACAGATGTGTCCATAGTTGTATCCTTGCAGGAATAGTCTTCACTAGTAAGACCTTTCCCTACTATTTCTTTCAGCCACTGGTATACTTGTCCATTAGTCACCATTTTGGCATGAAATTACCATGAGTTAGTTCCTTGTAGTAAGGATAGGAGAATTCCAGGACAGGACAATTGCTGTGAAGCATCCTTTGAGGAAGCAATTGGGATTTAATGGACAGAGCCCTTCCATTGACTATTTCTGAGGTATTTATTGGTCACTACCTTGAAATTTTCGTGTTGCTTTTATGTAAAAGCACAACAAAACATACATGGAAGATCTTATAGATACTTATAGTTCTATGTACATATTTTAGAGGTTGGTATTAGGAATTTATTTAGCTTTTTTTGATGACCTAGTTTCATGAAGAAGTAACATCATTATTGCTGATCTTGGCTAACCCTTCCTTTGCAGTTTAAATGTTGTGGCGTCGTGTACTTCACAGACTGGCTGGAAATGACAGAGTTGGACTGGCCACCTGACTCCTGTTGTGTCAGAGAGTTCCCAGGATGCTCTAAGCAGGCACATCATGAGGATCTCAGTGACCTTTATCAGGAGGTAGGAAGAAAAGTATTAATATTTCAGAAGGCTTTGTGCATTCTTCCTGATACAGTAATTTTCTGAATTCATCATTTGCATTGCAACAGAGTAATTTTTTTGTAGAGTAGTTGTGTTTATGGAAAGTGTTTATTGTGTTTATGTTTATTATTAATGCTGAAGGAAGGACAGATGGACCTACCCACCCTTGCCTGGAAGTGAGATAAGTTAATGGCAATGCATTTAACATCTGAGATGTGCCTAAACATTGAGGTATTTATTTTATATCGGTTAGGTTGGAGTTCAAATTTGCTTTAATCCAAAAGTTAAAAATTAATTGTGATGTAATGTCCAGGCTCCAGCCCATTAAACTAATGTAGGCTAAGTGTAAGAGTACTCTAGTGAAATATCTAGTGAAGGAGGCTTTTGAGAATTTCTTAGGAAGATGAGAGCGCTCTTGATAAAAGGTGTCATGCCAGGAAGCAGGTAATTCAGTTACTCTGAATAGGAAAGCCATTCAGGCTTCTTCTGGGGCCTGT